AAAATAATGAGTTACGTATTTCAGCGTTTTCTAAAATTCAACCCCTAAGAGGGTAAAATTGGAGATGATAACATAAAATCAAAGAGTTTTTTCTGTAGATTGAACGCGGGCGTAGCCGCGGATTCTGCTAGTTATAATACATTTTTTTATTATTCCTTCTTTAAATGAGTATGATTGTCCAGTAACATCGTGAAAATTATAATGAAATCACAAAGATTAATATGCTAAGCAAATATTAATTATTTTTGCTAATGTGAATAGCTTATTGTTAAGCTTGTTTAAAAATTACAGAGCACAAAGTAGATGAGGACATATGTCTATTAGTTAGTTTTTACCTTAAGATTGACAGTTATATTATTTTGTTTATAATAATCTTGAAAATATCTAGCTAGATAATTAATGCTATCTATACACACGCATTTGGTATTGCGTTAACATTAAGATAGCAAAAACTGAATTCCAGTCATAATATTCTAGCTTCTTTTTTCAGAATCCTCCAGCTTCTATTATAAATTTCTGACATACCTTAAATTAATTGCATTATACTTTAATATCCCGCTAACCAAACAAGTGTGTCCCAAAACAAACATTTTCTAAACAAGTCACGAGCTTAACAAATTTTAGCAAAATTCAACGCGAACAGTTCATGATGAAAATAGGCCTCATTTAGGGTTTGATCATACCCCTGAAAATACGAGTACTTATAATAAAGCAAAATTTTATCGTTAATTATAATTTAAAATATTCTCTACATATTATAATTTTAACGTTAAAAAAAGATTAATGACAAGTAAATTAATAATATGTGTGTTTATTCCGTCTTCACCGTATAACGAATAAATGTATTTAAAGAAAATTTGTAATAGAGTTAGCCATTGAGTAGCATTATAATATTAACATAAAATAAATATTTAAGTTATATTATAACCTGTCTGTCCTGCAAGTAAATGTGTGAGAAGATGATGTTTTATTGGCTGGTATTAAAACATTTACGTACATAAAGTTAGAAACTAAAATATTCAAATTTAAAAATTTACGAAATCTTATCTTTACATCAAAACAATGTGTTAAAAAATTGTAAGTCTTAATAAGGTATAAAGAAAAGTTCATGATAGCAAGCGTGTGTCTGTCATCATTCTAACCTTTTTTATCAAAACTGTCACTCGGTCTTAGAGGAATTACGCCATAGTCCACCGCGCTGGCCAAGTGAGGGTTGGCGGACTACACATGTCTTTCGAAAACTTACTAAGTTCTCTCAGACACGCAGGTTTCCTCACGATATTTTCCTTCACCGTAAAGCAAGTGGTAATCATGTTGGAAATGATTCGCACATGAAAACGTCAGAGATGCGAGACCCGGGATTTGAACCCGCTTCACTCGGTTTTCCAAGCGAGCGCATTACCACTGGGCTACCGCTGCTTTTTATTTTATATACATTTATTTATATCAATTATATGTGTTATTTAGATACTTGCCACAATATACTGTTAATATGAAGCTAAATATACGTTAATATAATAGAGATTTTGCATAATTTACGTTAATAAAGTTTTGTTCATAGTAGACAGGACCTTACCGTGAGCTTACAACTTCGTCATTTCGCTTCAGACAATGTGGCGATTAGAGAAAGCGGACGATTGTTAGTCATTTTAACGGTTCAACAAAGACACTTGTTTTTGTTGTTACTTTATTTATTTTAGATCATGTTTTCAATTAATTTGTGAAAATATGGTGATTTTCTGCATCTGTATAATAAATATTATAAGTGTGAAAGTTTGTGTGTATGTATAAATATGTTGGGACATTAACACACAACACCATCTAGTTCCATGGTAAGCTACGAGGCCTGTGTTATGGATACTAGATAGTTGGTAGACTACACATGTATACTTTAAATACATACATATATTATAAATATAAACACTCATGACTGGAGTACAAACATTCGTGCTCAAAACACAAATGAATGCCCCCAGCGGGACTCGAACCCGCGAACGCTGGCACAGCAAGTAAGATCTCTACAAACTGAGCCAAACGTGTCGTCGTTGTCATGTATGGATGTTTGTTAGTCTTTCCTGCCAGAGCGGCTGAACGAATCTAGACGAAATTTGGCGCAGAGACAGATTATAGTCTGGAATAACCCATAGGCCAGGGTGAGCCGCTAGTTCATTAATATTTTTAATATCCAAAAGCGTTATGTAATTTTTTTATAAAGTTCTGTAAGTCCAAAGTAGTTACGTTTTTAGTAAACCTACTTTTGTCCGCAACGCTTGATAGCCATTTTATTTTTAAAATGAAAATGTTAATAATAATTTTTAACTTGCTAGCGAAAGAAGTATCCAACTTTTTTATCGAACTCAAAAAGTATTTCTCAGTTCTTTGCTTGTATGATTATTTGTTTGTATGTATGTATATAACGGGTCACTCCTAAAGGTGAAAAAATACTTTAGAGTAGTTTTAAGAATGGCAATTAGAAAGATCACATAATCATCATTCATAATTTGTAACTCTGTTTATAATTATTGTTCTTCCAGTGGTTGAAATTCCACCAAAATCATTATATAAAAAAACTGCTTCTAATTTTTTTATTGATAACACTGAAGTTCTTCAATGGCTACTAAACAAAAAGAAAAAGAAAATCGGTTGACGAACACGAGAAAAAGGTACTGAAATGTTTTGTTGTCTATTTATATATAGATAGTTTAACTATTCGCAATTATTTGACTAAAACATAATATGGTAATGTGATAGAACTTTCAATATTATCATAGGCTATTTCTGTAATCATCTTTAAGAGCTGTTTCATGCATATGAATTAATGAAGGTGATATTCTTCCCATGAATGTTAGTCTTAAGCTCTTCATATATTATAATCTTATTGATTTTACTTATGGATTTAAAACTTAAGAAAGAAGCGTTATAATTTGACGACACGTTTGGTTCTGTTTGTGTGTTGTACTTACTGTGTCAGCGGTCGTGGGTTCGAGTCCCGCTGGGTACATTCATTACTGTGATGAGCACGAATGTCTGTACTACAGCCATGGGTGTTTATATTTATAATAGGTATGTATTGAAAGTTATATAAGTGTATCAACTATCTGGTATCCATAACACATGCCTCGTAGCTTACTATGAAACTAGATGGTACTGTGTTAATGTCCCAACGAATTTATTTATTTTTATAACGTTCTTATAAATTTTAAATTTTGCAACAACTAAACAAATTCACCAATTGTTTATTACTTAATGTTCCCAACCAAGTAATCCTTTTTTTGTTCTTATCTTATGACAAAAAACAAGATATTCCAAGATGTCTATATATACGTCTCGCAAATCTGTCTCTAGGTAAAGTCCTTAGTTCTTAAACATAACGACTATACTTTTGTAATACATCGTCCAATTTATATTTATAAAGTAAAATACATAATATGTATGCTATAAATAAATATAACGATTGTTCGTTATCCATATAAATAAGATAAACAAAATACAAAACCACAACTAACATTTATATGTAACCGATCACATTGTTCATATTATTCTTTTGACAACTATAAATTGCAGCGTACAATCCATACGTCAAACGTATCGGTATAAAATACTTTCACAATTTCCTCCTGAAACTGTTTTAAAATATTACCTGCCAAAACCCGATATCTTGTTAAGTGAAACGCTTATTTCAACTTTATCTACGGATGTTCACTGGCCATTCTACTGCCATGAATAATAGTGTATATGTACCAAGGCTCGACTCTACAGCACGTAGTAAAAGTGATTTTTAAAATAAAAGAATTTTATGTAACTGGGTCTTTTAATTGATTTATGGGCCCGTCAATAATTAAATAAATGAACGTTTCGTGAGGGTTATATTAATAAAAATATATGAATTTATCACTGATCAATTCAATTTCTGCGCAAATGTGTTTTCTTCGAATGAATGAATCAACGATATTACAAAAACGTATGACTGTATGTCTACATATAAACCCCTAAAAAGCTATTTTACGCAAAAAAAGAAAAGATTAGTAAGAACTTGAGATTTGGTATTTCTAATAATTAAATTATTATCCTGAATATATATAACATATTATAATCAAAAAGAAAGCTTTACGTGCTTTCCGAGGCACGGGGGTGAAACACCGCCAACTTCCCAACTCTGAGCTGCTACTGAGGCTTACTATTCAGAAAGACTCAATAATTAAACTTGGCCCGACCCGGGACTCGAACCCAGGACCTCCAGGTGTGCAGCCGTACATGCTAGCCACTACACCACCGAGGCAGTTAAAGTTAAATAGTTGCTAATAATAACAGAACATCAATTAGAAGTACTTTGCCATTTGTCAATTAATTATGAGCAAATGGACAAAATTGAAGCTTAGGTAGTTATACAATTTCCATGGTTCACAATAACTGAGAAATGTGAAACCTTAGGACACCATATCGCTGATATTAATTATTTATTATGGTTTCCTCTACCGATACAGTTTCGTCGTGCGCCCCTACTGTGTAATAAAAACAAAATGGCGGCGGGTTGTTGTCAAAATGTCAGCGTCCATAGAAAAGTATTCTAACGCCTAAAAAAACCATTGCCCAAAGTATATTGTATGGAAAGCATTAAATTCAAATCTCCTACATCTAAGTATTCAGTGCGATGATTAATATGACGTAGTTTAACAGTCGCGTAATTGGTTAGTTAACATATAAATTGATTCCGTATAACTACGAGTATACGTAGACATATGGATTAGGTAATAGCGTGTAATTCGAAGCAATGATCATAAATATATTATATACTATTTCATTTATATGTAAATTTTAAAATGTCGTGATTTAAAGACGACAAAATAACTTTAAATATGAAGAAATAACAACTATACCAAATTATAATTATACTGATTATGTACATATTACAAACAAAAATACTCCACTTAGTTATTTCTAATTTTTTTACACTGTGGAAGCCGTTGTACGTTTATTCTTTCAATTATCTTTTTACTTACCTTCATGTCCTTCAAACCCCTAAATTGCATGATGAATCTGTAACAAAGGATGCGTTCATATCATTCTTTATTTAAATAATTAAAATCTTATAGTAGTGGTTACAGGCTCAAAAATAAAATTATACTCACAATAAATAATATATATTTTATTGAAACAATTAATTACAAAAAATATTAGAAACATGTGTTCTTTTTTTGAAAATTCCTCTGTTTAAAATATATTTCATTTTAATATGAAAGAAATACTTAAAATCCAATCGGCCATTAATTATGTGAATAATGCAGTTAAAAGTAAAATTTCGTTTAATGATTATAAAACTACTGTTTATGTCTTTTTTTAAATATAATTACTCATAGTTTTATTTTTGTCATTAAATTAAAGATAAATTGTTTTTAACTTTATTTTAATTTTTATATGAATTAGTGCTAGTGCTATTATTAACATGTAATAAAATTCTAACTGAGTCGAATCTGTACAATAAATATTTTTTGGAAAATCTTATTGAAATAGTCATTATTATCGGATACAGAGGCCGAATTTATAGTTTTTAGAATTTTTGTCTGTCTGTCTTTCTGGGAACGCATCATGAGAACACCACTAAACAGATATTGATAAAATTTGGTACGATGATAGCTGGTTATCCGAGTTAACTTATAGGATACTTTTTACTGCAGGAAAATATCTCATATCTAAGAAATCTATACTAGACTTTAAAAACGTAAGTAGGAACGAACCCGAGCGGAGCGAGGGTGAGTCGCTAGTAATACTATACAAAACATTTCATGTCCAATGCGTCATATGCTAGAGGCCTAATCTAATCATTTCATTTTCTCACAAACAAAAGAAAGGCACTATCATGTAAATATAATATCAACATTAAGACGAGGTCATTAGGTTGAATGTTGGGAATTGGCTACTTAAGCAACATCGAGAGCCATTATGCGGAATCATTTTTACGTTTAATGCCACATATCCAATACCAAATGATGCTAAGCGATAAATATCTTTTGATAGCTCAGTAAGTAACAAGGAGTTACATTTTTACTACCAATAACACTTTGTTAGATTTACGCGAATATTTTACATTTTAAATACGTCGAGAACCAAAAATCTAAATAAATCCGCAAAAACCCCGAAAGATTTTTTACTCCCAGTTACTAAAATTCATATATTATAACCTTTAGAAATCAAAATAATTGTATACATGATTCTGAAAATGTAACAACATGTTTTTTTTTCATAATTATTAGTTTAAAGTGAGGCGACTCTGATATCGGAAAAATAAATTGAAATTATAAAAATTCTCTTCATATACCTATTATTTAAAAAAATATTTATGAAAAAAATTAGTTCTTTCTTTTCTAATTTTCATTTGCCTATTTTTATCAATATTCGTTTAAAGTGTATTTGTATACCATATCTAAGTTTTAGTGTGCAAAGTCTTAACATAGGATAGGCGTAATATTAAATTCACCTACCACGCAAGCAATATTGGCAATTCATTAATTTTGGTACAGCTTGCTCTTAATTCACCATGACTTGGAGTATTAGCATTTCCGTTATTTTTATATTTAAGAAAAAGAATTAAGTCCACTTAGAATGGATACGCCATTTATGCTAAGACTACGTATTATTTTATTATTTGGCAAATATACGTTTGAAGCTGTCCTATACATTCTTGTATCTTTATTAGTTCTACTAGAGACTCACCCTCGCTTCGCTCGGGTTCATCCCTAGGTAAGTTTTAACGGTTAGTATGGACTAGATAGACTATATATTATATGATAATATAAAGCTTATAGCCTTCCTCAATAAACGGGCTATCTAATGCAAAAATAATTTTTCAAATCGGATAAATGAGATTGGCGGTTAAAAAAACAAACTCTGCCTCTTTATATAGGAAAGTAAACTTCATAGAAGTATAGATTAATAATAAAATATTTAGGCTTAATAAGGTTTAAAAAAAGGGAGTGGTGGCCCAGTAGTAACGCGCTCGCTTGGGAAGCCGAGTGAAGCGGGTTCAAATCCCGGGTTTCGCATCTCTGATATTATTTTCATGTGTTAACGATTTCTAACGTGATTACCACTTGTCTTACGGTGAAGGAAAACGTTGTGAGGAAACCTGCATGTCTGAGAGAACCTAGCAAGTTTTCGAAAGACATGTGAAGTCCGCCAATCTGCACTTGGCCAGCGTGAACTATGGTCTGATCCTCCTCGCATTGAAAAGAGGCCCGTGCCCAGTAGTGGGAAGTTACAGATGGCTAAATACAAGTAATACATACAAGGTTTAAAAACTTTTTCTATCTAATATGTTGATATAACTTACTACATATTCTCAAGAACCAAGATACTCGTATCTTACGTGCTAGCAGTGCCTTATGTCAAGGTTAAAGTGAAAAAAACACAATACCCTAACATTGTTCTCAACCAAATATTGCACATTATTTGTATAGAATACGACATTGAGTGGTAATCAATTTACGAGTATATTAAAAAAATGTTTATCAGCTCAGTAATTATTGTTAGGTACTACAATGTAGATATGCGATGGCCCTAGATCAGGTGAAAATATATATATTTTTTTTCGTAAGAGATAATATTAATCATTAACATAGATATTTGCTGTGTATCTTATTCAAATCTACGTCGTCCTCCTTTATGAACAATGTACGTATATACATTTAACAAAACTTCGTTTATAAAGAAAAATGTGCGCACTTTAATTAACATAAGCTTAACAAAATCTTCTTTTAGTGCGTAATTCTACTAACCATCTCGACTTTGTTTTCAACGCAGCCTTCTTAAGAGGTCCATTTGTTTACTTTAACGCCTATAGAAAGATATTTGTGAAGTACGCAATATTAAATTCAATGTAAATGCCCAGCTATAACTTTGAAGGTTTTAGTCTTTATTTCTAGCAATGTCTTTATTTTTAAGTTAATAAAATAAGTGTTTTTAACTATTTTCTTAATGTTGAAACTGAATAAATGAACGTTAATCTGTCAAGTAACTTTTTTATATGGAGATTTTATAACTCAAATTTTTAACTTTTCCGTACAATTTTTCAAAAATTTCTTTCATAGAAACCTCGTCCTGATAAATTGCAAGCACAGCAAAGATATAATTAGACAAATAGGTGCAGTCTTCTAAAGTAATACGCTTACATATATTTGGCAATCGATTTTTATTTATATAGACCCGACAGATTGTTCCGTTAAAATTTCAATGTTAAAATTATGGCCATTGAGTTATGTAAGCCATTAGTAAAAAAAAATATAGAAAAAAGATTTCAATTTTCTCAAATTTTGTAATTTTCTGGACAATTTGTTTAACTCTAGTTCCCTAAAAACCTTATTATTATAAACTAACACGAAGTATTTTTTAAATAATACAATAACTTCATAAAGTTTAAGATAACTTTTTAAAATAATAACAACGTTTATCTAATGTTAAACTCCAAATTAATATTATTATAACCTAACTACAACCATAAGGGTTGCTTTCTAATAAAGCTTTGTTAATTAAAAATTTTATTCTCATTAAATTTTAATTTACCAAGTTATGTTTACAAGAAAATTAAGCAAGACTTTGGTTTACCAATTAGTTCTACTTTTTGATCTTTTGTTACCCTTATTATCATGCTTTTGTTACGTAGGAAGAGAAAATTAGATATACATTGTTTGTTCTATTATATTTATTTACATTAATCCCTTAACGACCGCGGACACGCCGGCGTTACAGTTAACAATAGATTTTTTAGAAATTTACTCAATTTCTTAGAAATTTACCTGCAGGTGTTAATCAAAAATCGCAGTTTAATATATACTATAATAAATACAAAAAAACTATAAATATATTTTCTCCATACTTACAATAAATTCCTTTTATTTAAGGCATTCTAGAATAATATTGTATACTGCAATTCGGTGGCCTAGTCCACCACGCTGGCCATTTGTAGGTTGGCGGACTGGACATGACTTTCGAAAACATGTTAAGTTCTGTCAGACATGCAGGTTTCCTCACTATGTTTTTCTTCACCTTAAGTAAGACAAGTGGTAATCATGTTGGAAATGATTCGCACATGAACATATCAGAGGTACGAGAACCGAGATTTAAACCTGCTTCACTCGGTTTCAAATCTCATCATCTTGATGATGATATGATATGCAAAATCTGTACATTTTTTTTTTGGAAAATGTAATTGAAATAGACATTATTACATTATATAGTTTTTAGAATTTTTGTCTCTCTATCTGTCTGTCTGTAACCGCATCACAGAAAAACCACTGGAGGAATTTTGGTGAAATTTGGTATGAGGACAGCTGATTATCCGGATTAACTTATAGAGATAATTTTTACCGCGGGAAAATATCTCATTTTAGAGAAAAAAACACAAAAACTGCAATGTAAGAGTATACTAATATGTAAAACCTAAGAATTTGGTTTTTGGTCATCTGAACGCGGGCGTAGCCGCGGGCAATGCGAGTTTAACATAAGCACACACTCCAACTTTCGTAATGCATATCTTAGTGAAGTGTGCCATAAACAGTGGATATAACTAATTTGTCATAAAATTGCGAACTGTAGCTATACTAGTTATATACACGACTTCCTTAGTATCGATCAACATGGATCAACAACGACAAATTATAATGGAAAAAAATTAATGTAATATATACCTGATCGACTTCGGTCATGGTGGCCTATCTCTATAAATCAAGCAATCTGCATAATAGATAGAGTATAAGTATATACGCAAATTCCTCAAAATCCAGTGGGACAATAATTCTATATTATGGGTTAGAGATTAGGTGCAAGATTTCTGCTTTACATGCCCTCCAAGTTATGGATCTGAACACAGAAAATTTTCCACCCCTAATTAAAAAAAAATCTTATCAGAAAAATTCTTCATCCTACTCAACACTCGATGCCCATACCTCCTAAACCTAAATTATGCTAGTCACTAGGTACCAACGAAACAGTTGTGAAAGTAAATCTGGAGATTTTTTATCTGTTGTATCTGTTATTT